GGGGGGGGGGCTGTAGCTGAGCAACTTTGGAAGGTGCCTCTGACTGGGGCTGGTTGTCACCGCCCTGGAGGTTGGAGAACATGGAGACTGGAGGCATTCCTGCGGCTTTGTACGTGTCCTAAATTTGGATAAAGCATCTGAGGCTTTCTGATAAATTGAGACTAATCTCGGAAGAGCTCTGACTGTAATTTGCTCTCCGCTTATACTGAGCACATATCTGAGGCTAGGTAACAACGTCACGTGGGTTGAAGGGCCAAGTGGGATTTCAGAGACCGCGCCAGGAGGGTCAAGGTTCTCTCTGGCTGCAGCCCTGCGTTTTTTCTTTTTTTTTCTGGCTCCTTCTCACACTGTTTCTGTAAAGGTTTGTGGCTTTAGTAAGAGAATCCCTGGCCTGTTTTCTTCCTTTGACAGAATCCCAGGCTCCAAGAAGAGTCCCGAGGGCTCCATCTCCAGGACGGGCTCCTCCCTTTCTGGGCGCCCCGGCGTGGTTCCCAACCACGTCAAGAAGAGTATTAGCAACGGGACCGTTTCTTCCCCGCTGCCAGGAAAGGTACTTCTTCGAGAGGATCGGCATTTGCGCAGCAGACAGGCACACTGTGTCTCGTGGGGTCATGGAGCCCCCGGATCTCTGTAGAGACCTTTCCCAGTGGTCGGAGAGGCAGACAGTCGGCCCTAGTTTGGTCGTCAGCTGATGTTGGGTGAGCAGGAGGGGACAGTGATGACCCAGCCGATCAGGACTAAGTCACGCTGGCTGCGTCCCTCTTAGACCAGCTGCCATGCAGAAGCCCAGTGACAGGATCGCTGAGCAAACTCATGGCCTGAGGCATCTGGGAAAATAGGTTCTACCCTCACATTTTAATGCTGAGAGTGTGAGGAGTGTGCACCAGTGGTGATCTCATTTAATCACTACGCTGTGGCTGTGGTGAGAGAACGCCCTTTTCTCAGGAATGTACACAGGCAGACGAATTTAGGAGTAAAAAGGTATCATGTCTACAATGTAATCAAATGGTTAGAAAAACAGAAATAGAGAGTGGGGTAGAGAGAGAGTGAGAGACAGTGAGAGTGCTAATGTGACAAAACCTTAACCCTTAGGAAATACCCTTGAAGTTATCTTTAATTTTTTTTTAAACATATCTTTATTTCAGAGAGAGGAAAGGAGGGGGGGAGAGAGAGATAGAAATATCAGTGATGAGAGTCATTGATCGTTTGCCTAGCCCGCAACCCGGGCATGTGCCCTGACTGGGAATCGAACCCCGATCTCCTGGATCCTAGGTCGATGCTCAACTGCTGAGTCACGCCCGGCCGGGCTTGAAGTTATTTTTGTGTGTATTGGAAATTTCCTACTAACAAGGTTGAGCTCAGATTTGCAGACAAAGCAATGAGCGATGGAAAGGACTCATTCAGGTGACTTAAAATCGCCCTGTTGCCTGCGCAAAGGATGCTTAGTGTTAAGTGATGGGAGCCAAACACAGTATCCAGTTAGCAAACATTTTGAAAAAGAGATGCTGGCTCGTAAGAGCGCGTGGTAAACGCAGTTTGTCAGCGTGCATTGCAACTCACGAACGTACTCGAAAGCCAGCATGGAATAGGAACAGCGAAAACATTCAGTTCAGTTCCCTCGGCAAATAGTGCTTAATAGACTCTGCCGGACGGGGGTAGCCGGGGGCTTCGATGGCCAGCACTCTGATTCAGGCCTGGGGGTGGGGCGGGGCCTTTAGACGGTGGGTGGTTTAGGCTCAGTGTCAGGATC